CGAGTCAGGATGGCCGAGTGGTCTAAGGCGCCAGACTCAAGTTCTGGTCCTCGTGAGAGGGCGTGGGTTCAAATCCCACTTCTGACATTGTTTCCTTTCCTTCCTTTTTTTTTTTTAATTAACATGTAACGGGCCTTGCATGCATTTCACAAGCTCGAAGGCCTGGATAAACACTGCCAACTTTTGGTGTTAGTTTTTTTTTTTTTGGAGAGAATTAATTATTATAAAATTTATTAGCAATTAAACTAAACTGTATTAATAATTTATTATGTTATAAATATAATTTAGTTTATTTGTCAATAAACCTTACAGTAATTAATTTTTTTGGTGAGATTTTAATGTAATTCTTTCTTTTTTTCAACCATAAGGTTATTATTTTAATAATAAATAAATATTATAAAGTTATTATTTAATATTTAATAAATAAATAAATAAATGCAACTCGTTAACATTTCACTTGAATAGTTCAAATACAAATTTTGGTATGAGCAATTCAAAACTATACTGAAAAAATTGGAATTGAAACTAAAAATATTTTGTAAAATATTTTTTATTTTATTTATTTTGCATATCTGTTCATCTATGAGAGGTAATATTATTTAAGATATGGTTGGATATTAAATATGAACATTTTTTAAACAAAAATTTAAACATTTATTTGTTACATTATAAGAAATTAGCTCATTTTGCAAACTTAACCTTTTATTTTTAAGTCTTGAAGTCATTTTTTAAATTTTTTCAGTATAATTTTAAATTGTTAAGACTAAAATTTTTATTTTAACTATTCAAGTTAAATTTTATTAAATTAATATTTATTTATGATAATAATAATAACTTTATGGTTTAAAAAAGAAAAAGAAAAAGAAAATTAACACTGCAAAACGGCAGTGTTATGGTGCCGACCACCACGTTCTGAAAGCGAATCGGTAACAATCAAGTTACAATTTAATAGTCCGCACGAGGGGCCCATGAACCTTAGGCTCAAGCAATTGGACGCCACACGGGATGTTGACTTGGATGACAAGAGGGATAAGGACGGGCAAATTGCCAAGCATGCAAATCTGACTTTACGGGGGCGGCCGGCGGCGGAGCAAGCTTGAGTATTGCGACAGGGGCCAAACCATAATACTAACATTCAACGTTGGTGTTGGATGCATGCATCATGGTACAACAACCACCAACTGCCTACACTGAGACTACAACAGGATACTATCCGTACATCGTATCTCTTGCGTTTTGACAAGGGCTTGGGCATAGCATTCATGCTGTGATTCCGCATAGGAACACAATTGTGATATGAAAGCCAATTATATACACACCCCGCACACACATGCCGGCTATGCGTTCCTTTAAATTTTAATTTCCTGTTTTTGACTCCTGCTCGCAGCCCCCCTCTCCAAAAAATATTCTAAAATCCTTCTTTTATGCCCATAGATGAAAAAAACATATTTAAATAAGTCTTAAAAGTACATTTAAATTACATTTGACATGTGTTTTTATCAAATTTAACAAATAATGAGATCTTGTAAATGAATGTTTGTCCAAATGTAAATTGAAAATCAGGTACTTAAAAAATACATTTTGCTGTCCGTCTACAACTTGAAATGCCACTTGCGGGTGCCCGGCAGGCAGAATAGGGGTGTCATGTGTGAGAAAGAATAAATGTATCATGTGTGAGAAAGAATAAATGTAATTTTGGTGTTTATTTGTGTTAGGACCAATATTTTTAGAATCGAACCTGATATTGAACCAAAAAAGTTTAATGGTTCACGATTCATATGGTTTAATTAGATTGGGCTAATGGTCAAATCGGTGATGTAATAATTAAATTAAAAAAATTATATATGTATATAATAATTTAAATATAAGAAATACATATAAAATTACTATTTAACTTAAAAAAATTAAATATTTTAAGTTTATAATGACTTAACAAGTCACATAATATAACATAATATCAAATGATTAAAAAAATTAGTCATTTAAAAAAAGCTGATAAAAATAAAAAAATTTGAATAGTCTGGTTTTTGAAAATTGAATCCGATTCTCAACTTAATTTTGGTTCTTGGTTCAAAACGGCTCAACTCCTAAAATAATTTTCTAAACCAAATCAAAATATAGATTGGTCGATGGTTGGATCAGTCCATTCACTCAATTTGATTCAGTTTTAAAAACACTAGTCAAGACTCAGGTTTTGAGAGAGGGAACAAGGGAGAAGGCCCGTTGCATTCGTAATTGATTTTTTTTTTCATAAACATAATAAATTAATAATTGTTGTCTTTAGACTTTTATTAAAGGAAGTAAAATAAACTATCAAGCCTATAAAAATATTTAATTGTTAGGTTTGTCTTTTATATTTACCTGAGTGACAAATAAATAAAAACTATAAAGATTGGGGGGGAGGAGATAAAAAAATAAAAGTTTTAAAGAATGAAAAAAAAATTAAAAAAATATAATTTTAAATTCTTATATTTTTTTGATATTATAGATTTTTATAGTTTTATTTTTTAAATATTTTAAGTCTCTTCAAGATTCTTATACTTTGTTTGTAGAAGAATTTAAAATATAAAAAAAATACAAAAATTTATAATAAAATGTAAATAAAGTGTAAGGATAAAAAATTATATTTTATTAAAATAATTTATTAGTAAAAGCATTATTAAAGTGAATATATGATGAAAGATTGATAAATGCTGAAACATGAAAGACAGAGTCCCGCTAAATAGTTTGGAAACTCGAAAGCTGACAGAGCATAGATGATTCGTTTCCTCTGGGCAAAAATTCCTCTTTTGATATAGGGGGCATTCTTACTTAGGCCCGTACACCGGTCAAATTATTTTCAAAATATTTTAAATAAGTATTAGAGATATGATATAATTGCTAATTATAAAAATAAAAATAAAAATAATTTAAATTATGAAAAGAATAAAGTATTTTTCACTTGTTATATAAAATTAGCAGTTATTAATTTTTTTATTTTTTTATTAATTTATTAATATTATTTGTAAATTTTATCTTTTTGTCAAACAAGTAGTAATATTAATTAAATGTTAAATTATTAATTTTACTTGTTAATTTACTAACACCGGTTATAAATTACAAGACCAATCAATAATTTATGATTGATGTTAGTAAATTAATAAGTAAAGTTAATAATTTAACAACCGATATTGTTGGTCATGATTGAACAACTAATGTCAAATTTTATATAATTATTGACATATCAACTTATATAATTTGTAGCTCATATTAGTAAGTTAACTAGTAAAATAAAAAAATTAATAACTAGTGATTTTATATAATAAGTGAAGGGTACTTTAATCTTTTTATAGTTAAAATTATTTTTACTTTTATCTCTTGTACAAAATTAAAATTTTAGAGCTTTTGATACCAGTTAGTGATTATGTCACGTTCTTGGTCCTTATTTAAAATTTTTTTTATTATCTTTTATCTCTTTATCATTACAAAATTAATTTATACTTCCTCTGTTCAAAAGTGTAAAGTATTTTTTAAAAAGTTAAATGTTAAAAAATATAAAGTATTTTTAATCTTTTGAGGTGTAATCATTATTTTTTAAAAATATCTTTATTAATTAATGACTTTTTATTTACTGTAAAATATTTAACAGGGTATTAAAAATTAGACTAATCATTGAACTAGTTGAATCAATGGTTCATGAGTTAGTAATTTAACCGAGAGTCAGAACAAAGTCAAATTGATCATAATTAAAATAATAAAATTTAATTAAGCAATATAAAAATATTTTTATTTGACTATAAAAAATATTTAAATAAAAAAGATATCAATCCTCAAAATATTATATAAATTAAAAATACTATTTTTTAAAAAATACAACATTTCATAGGATGAAATGTATAAAATGTATAACCAGAATTAAAAAGTAATTTTTATTTTTCACATAACATCATTTAAAAAATTATAACAAAATAAAAAATATAAAAATTAAATTAAATAGATATATCAAATGGCCGCAAAAGTTACGATCATTAAGTTATATTCAAAAATAAGGATAATAATAATAATATTTTAAATGTTTTTTAGTTTTAAGTAATTATTGATATTAAAATTTAAAAAGCACCAAGCCACAAGAAAAGTTAAGGAAGCTAGATGTAATGGGATTAGGGGTTAGTAAATGGCACAGGCTTGGTTTAGTCATCACATCAGTTTAAATGGTGCAAGCACATTAAAAAAAAAAAAAATAACGAAGCTTGAAACTTCTCTCCTCCTTATCTTTTTCCTCCATCATTTGCGTGCACTTCAAAACTTTCATCCTTCTTAAAAATAGATTGCAGCAGAAATTACATACGGGAGAGGTTGAGCGGTTTCAATGTACTATTTGTTTACTCTTTCTTTCTTCAACCTTTTTTTTTTTTCCTAAATCTTCTCATCTCCTCTTTCTTTTTTTCCCCCTTCCTTCTTCTTCATCCCTCATCTTTTATTCATCCATATTCTTCATCTCTTTCTTCTTATGGCTGGTTTTTTTTTTTTAATTTTATTCCTTGCAAACCAGTGACCCGATTAACCCAACAAGTTTAGTTTTTTTTGGGTTAATTCCAAATTAATCGGATTACATGAGTTATTGTACTGCTGGTTTACTTTCTCAATCAGACCGACCAAGAGACCAGTTAACCGATCTGATTGGCCGATCCGGTCTAAATTTAAATACTATGATATTTAATAAGAATAAATATAAAAAAAATAAAATTAATTTAAAAGTAGGTAATCACTATATTAAAAAGTGAGATTTAATTAAAAATAACTTATATTTTTAAATAGAAAAAATATTTATAAATTATTTGACATGTCATATATTTATTAGAAAGAGTAAGCATGACATTGTTTCTTTCTTCTCTTTTTGCAACGCAGGCACGATATGTTTGACCGAGTCCATCTAAGAAATACGTTTAGTGGCAAACAAAAGAAAGCATCTAGTACTATATATGGTGACAAATCAGAATGTAAATATGAGAGAATTGACGGAATTAATTGCGAATCCATTTCCTTTTGTAATTATTCAGGTAACGCAGTCATTCATACATTCTTGAAAGCAATAAAGGACGGCCGGGGCCAACAATCCCAAAGAATTCTAAACTGCAAAGGTTCTCTATCCTGCAAAAAAAAAAAAAAAAACAGGTTCTACCTTTAATCATTCCTTTAATTCTTATAAAATAATTGAAAATATCTTATACTTTAATTTGGGAAAAAATATTTTAGTGCATGTATAAAAAATATTTTTAAATTTTATTTAATTTAAGAGGGAGGGAGGGGTGGAGGGGTAAAATTTTTCCTCCTCTCCCCTGCCCCCAACCAAACAAACATAGGGTAACTGCCTAAATTGCGAGTTTGCCGCCACCAGTCCGCCTTCACGTTGTGGGCAGGGCACTAACAACTGACGAGAGTCGTCCGGGTTTAACACGTGGGTAAAGTCCACGCCAGCTGTGGACCGGCACTGGGGCAAGCAACGGGGGATGGTAAAAGCTAATAGAAGATGCTGAAGCAGAGAGTCAGGCGAGGAGGCAAAGAAGCGAAACGGCCACTGCCGCGCTAGCGATAGGCCCGGATTTCAACAAGAGGCTGCTCATTGATATTTCGCTCCGATCCTCAGCCCCTTGGTACACAATTGTGCCGTTACTCACTGATGATGGTGTGCCCCGGCGTCTTCCGATGCTTTCTGACTGCAAAACAACACCCCGTTATGATGCTACCAACCACTTTTGACCCTGCCCACCCTGCATCACAAATAATGAATCTAACCTGGTGTTAGGGGTCGGACAAAAGATTATGCTATAATCCGCAGCCGCACACGTAAATGTGCTCGTCTTGTCGTCATACGCGTAGCTGTAGGCGCGTGGACAAGCGCTTTTGAATATCCCCGAGTAGCTAGATGGTTTACAAGTATCCGGCGTCGCGTACGCACCGCTGCAGCAGTACTGGGGCGAACCGAATGCCTCGCAGGCGCTCTTGCACGCCACCCCTTGTTTCCCGTCCACATTCGTAACCTTGAGCTCTGACGGACACGCGCCGTTCAGATCCACAACGCAGCCCGTGCTGGAACAGTTGTCGCCCGAACCTCCTTGGGGGACGACGAGCATGGGCACGTTGTAACCGTCCACCAGGCTGACGTCGAAGAAATCGAGGCCACCGTCACCGTTCAAAGTGAATTCTGCCAGCGTGGCTGGTGGAGTTGCTCCGTTGCCAGCGCATTCCACCTTGCCCGAGCTGCAATCACCTGTGACGCAGGAGAGCTTGCCGCTGGAGTCTTGGGAGCAGAGAGTTCGACCCCAAAAGCGACCTCCCCAAGAGGTGGGTGCAGAGATCGTCTTAGACTCGCCCGTTTGCAGAACGAACCCGGTGATTGAGAGCGGCGTAACTCCGGCGTTAGAAAGAATGCCCGGCCATACCGTGTACTCGCATTTGTTAACTATGGTGAATGTAGTTGAAATTACTCCTGCAAGTAGGATACCACGAGTACTTTAGACCCGGTAACTTTAGAATCGGGGCAACAGGGCAAAGATTATCATTCCATGTTCGATTAGGATTCTTCTTCACAGTTCAAGTTTGGTTACCTGATGCCGATATATGGAGTGTTAATAAAAGAGAGAGCAATAACGTCAGGCTGTCCATCCTGAAATCTCCAGAGACGAAGGGCAGTGGCAGTGGGAAATAAAGAATGAAGAGGAGGAGGAAGGAGGGACTAGGGAGAATAAGGTGGATCTGGATAACCACTTATCCAAATTCCTCCTCTCCTGGCAGAAATATGGATAGTAGAGGGTTATGGGAATTCGGAAGCTCCCAACCGAGGAGGAATGACTATTTATTTAATATTTATAGACGATCGTTGGCCCTTTCTTCGGCTCGTGTTATTTGATTCTGCATTTTTTTATACATCATATGGATCTTAGGTGAGCTGAGATTTACCAAAATCCCGACGAGAAATTTTTGCGTAAATTAGATGTATCATAGTATTATTTATAATTTGTTCAATTAAAATATTCAATAATTTAAATAAAATTTTATATAATATTATTTTAATTAATTTTATCCTATAATAAAATTCATATTTATTTTTTTACATTTTCTATCTCTGTTATCATTGATGTCAAAATTATTTTATATTTAATATCATTTCGATGTTATGTTTTTATTAAATATTTATATGATCTTATTTATAAGGTAGGGAAAGATGATTTGCTTTGGTACTATATAGGACAACTCAATTATTATTATATTTATTTTTATTCTTTTACCCCTATTCAATGTTAGGAAAATTATTAAATATTAGAATATTTTATTTTTAAAGTAAGTATATTTAATAGAAATAAAGTTAAAAAGTTGTTGATTTTTAGATAAAATTAATGAAATTTAAAATTTTTCTTGATTCCATTAAAAATATTGAAAGAAATTTATAAATATAATCAGAAAAAGTAAACCCAAATGACGTAGATTTAAGAATTTTTTAAATTAAATATGCTTTTAAATTTAAAAATATTTTTTGAAACAAAAATTAAAAAAAATAGTTATATATTGATCATCAATAAACTATTTACGTTAGCAAAGGAATTTAGGGTGCATTTATTTAAAATTAAAAAAAATTAATTTTTAGTCAGTTTAAAAATTTTATAAAAAATTATTTTATAAAAATTTTGAAAAAAGTATACATTATTTTGTTGTTTGCTATAATAATAAAAATTAATTATTAATTAATTATTTTTAAATTTTATGATATTTTTTGATTTTTATTTTATAAAATAGTATATCCCACTTTTTATATACTTTATTAGAATCTATCCTTTTTAAAATTTTATAATATCATTTCTTATTTTACCTTTTTAAAATATTTTCTCTCATATATTGTATTAGAATCTACCCTTTTTAAAATTCTAATTATTTTTAAAATAAAAACTCATAAAATAATATTTTTATGAAATAAGTTAAAATAAATGAACACTTGTTTTGGTCATGTTGTGGATTATCAGCAGTGTTTTTAAAATCGAATTGGATTGGATTGGATTAGTCTGGATTTTAATTTGATTTATATGAGAAAATAATTTTAAGAGTTGAGCCAAGTTGGGCCGTTTCAAACCGACGGTTGGATCGAGAACCGGATCTAATTTTTAAAAACTGACAACTGTTTCAATTTTTTTATTTTTTATCAAATTTTTAAAAAAATTTATGATAATTTTTTAATCATTTGATATTATTTGTCGGTGTGACTTGTTTACGTTATGATAAATATAAAATATTTAATTTTTAAGTTAAGTAGTGATTTCATATATATTTCTTCTATTTAGATTATTATACATATATAATTTTTTTAATTTAATTATTATGTTACTGATTTGATCATTAATTCACTACGTTGAACTATACAAATTATAAATCATTGAGTTTTTTCATTCAATATTCAATTCAGTCTTGAAAACATTGATTATAAGTCAAATTTTCACCTGGACAAGCTTAGGAGATGGAAGCTGTAGGCCCCTTTCTATTTTTGGGTATGAAATACCAGTACTCATCAACAGCCCCGTTTGATCTCTTCTTTATCGTCAATGTCATAACCTCTCTATTTTTATATATATAGAAAAATTATATCATACATTTTAAAAAAAATTAATTAATTATAATAATTATATTTAAAAA